ACATTCTACGAGTACTGGGCAAAGGCTTCTTTGCCACTTGCATCTCAGCACGACGCCCAGCACCACTACCACCAGAGCACCACGGGCACGCCGCAGGGCAACGCCGAGAGACGGCGATCCTTGCTTCCATGGCGGTTGGCGACCGACTACGCCAGCAACGCTGCAGCTACATCGACAGCTTCCAGGACATGACCAATGCCTTCCCCTCGGTGGGCTGGGACTACATGGGGCAAGCGGCGGCTGAACTGGTGCGATCACCGGATCTCAGACTAGCTTTACAACGCATCAGGCGTGCACAAGTTGCACTGCCAGCTGCAGAGGGGACACTGCGCTTCAGACCGACGGAGGGAGGCCTCATGGGGGATCCATTTATGGTACATTGTTTCCCTCGCGCCTTCTCACACGCCATAGTGCCATGGACGGAACAATGGAGGAGCACGGACGATGTTGACAATGCGTTTCTCGTACAATGGCCTATCACAAGGGCGGAGGTGGATCTAAGCCTGCATCTCTACGCCGACGACATCAACAAAAAAACCATCCAGCGCAGGCCCGACACCAAGCATATTGTCAACATCGATGCGTTGAGGCACAAGCTACAGGACTGTGACAGGGTAATGGATGAACAACTTGCCAAGATCGGCCTGGCGCAGGACCGAAAGCGGCGAGAACAACGGGCTCAGTGGGCTGGGCAATTGGTGGATCAGGCTCGGCACCTTGGACCTATTGTCACCAGTGCACAAGGTTTCGGCATTGAACTGGCGAAGAGAATACAAGCGACAAAGGCGGCTTTCTTCTCAATGGGATCTTTCTGGGGTGTGCCAGGCATACCTTGGAGGTGGTGGCGGGCGGTTTTGTCGGGGCGCGTGGTCAATGCGGCGCTGTCCGCGGTGGAAGCTTACCAACCTACTCCACGACAGTACGAGACACTGGACAATGTTATTGCCTCTCTCGCGAGAATCGCGATGCGGGGACGAGCCTGCGCATGGAACGAGGACGACACGGTCAGGTCTTTCACCAACAACGAGGTGATGGCGCACTGGAAGATTGCCCCCAGTAATGTTGAGTTGCGGGTCAGACGACTGCGGTGGCTACAACAGGCGGCGGATGATAGGTGCAACCATGAACAATTATTTGCATTGATTTTTGGTTCAATCGCTGGGCAGGCGCAGAAGACGGTTGCTGATGATGATAGCCCCAATGGCTGCGCCAACCCGTGGGCCAAACGAGCCCAGCAGGACCTCGAGTGTCTCATTGAACAGTCTGAGGAGGCGCAGGCTCTCGCAGAAGAAGCGGGCCCGCACATTGTGGCCCGGTTGAAAAACCCGATCTGGAGGTCTGATTTCGCGAGGATCGATGTCACTATTCTCAGAGCCAGGGAGTTCACAAAATGTTGCCCCCCCCCCCCCCCCCCCCCCTCTTTGCAAGCCCTACGAGTCCCAGAAGGCCCCGGGGGAGGAGATCATCCAGGAGGTGGAGGAGGCCCACGCGTGCGAGGTGGAGGTGAAGGACAGAACATGTGTCCGCTCTACACTCCGACGAATCAGTGCATTGTGTGTGAAACTGTGTTCGCGTCGGTGGTCACTGCTCGTCGGCATCTGGTCAGATCGATTCAGAGGGGTTACTGCGTCGTCGACACGGCTCGCTCGCTCGCCACTCATGAGGGGCCGAAGTCGATCGAGTGCCCAGGTTGTCAATTCGTGGCAGGCTCTTGGCTCGAGCTCAGAGTTCATCCGGCCCGACACCTCCCTTTCCTCCCACATCAGAGAGCCCCCGCTTCAATCGGCAAGAACATCAGATATGGCGGCGGCAAGCTCTAGCGGTCTACCTCAGTGGATGACGGGCGCAGGCATGGGCGAAGACGTCAACTGGGCCATGAAGAAGGTCAACGAGCGCGAGGCCGAACCAGCTTTCCAGGGGGGGGGGCGAGGGGGGGCACGCCGCCGAGGTTCTCAAGAAGGGCGAGGACGTGGTCGAGGACGCAGCAGGCAAGAGCGCAAGCAAGACGCAGATCGCGCAACAGCTCGTGGCCATTCTGGGCAAGCTGGTGCTGTCTATGGCGGGCGGTCTGCGTTCGGTCATCAGCGTGGTGTTCGTGACAGTCTTGGTGCCAGTGGACATGGCACGTAACAAGGCGGCGATTCAGGCGGGCAAGGACTACCACGAGGCGGCGATGCGCTTGAGAGAGTCGCACAAAAACAACGAGAGCGTCGACGCAGCTCAGTTGGGGTTTCCGCACTTGCACGCGTGGAAGGACTTCGCGCGGGCGCTTCTCGGGAGCACAGAGGAAGGCAACGCCAGGGACGTCCTCTCTCGCTACTGGAAGGATCACGTGATGCAGTGCGCGCTCGCGGACATGGACAAGGATGCGAAGTACTTCCGCGTGAGGGTCCCACAGGGGAAAGAGCTCAAGAAGCAATCCAGGAGGATGGAGAACAAGGTCAGGCTCCAGTGGGCCCTCACGACGTCGACGATCGCTACCGAGCTCAATCCCATCCTGCGCGAGGAGCTGCTCCGCCACGGGGCAGAGTTCACGGTAGGAGCAGCGCCCAGAGGAATCTTGGAGAGGGGCGCGAGAGCGCCCTTGAGCAGGCTGGAGACCAACTCGACGAAGTAGGTAGGCGGCGCCTGCAGCAGCTCCTCTCGAGTGGCAGGTTAGGACAGCTAATCTCCCATGGGGTCCTAAGCAGGGAGGCTGTTTTTTCTTCCCTCTCCGCTCCTCTCCTTTCGAACCTCTCCTCCTCGAACTCCCAGGGACGAAACATTCCCGTGGCCAGAATTCAGCCGCGCCCAACGGGGCGTGGAAAGGGAAGAGGAAAATCCCGTCCCCCTAGAGCGTGATGGCTGTGTCAGTGTGGGTCGCCACCTCTGCGCCCTGTGCTTATACCTCTTGGGTTGCAGAGGGGCCCGAGTGCCTCCCACCAGTGCCAGCAAGGACAACCGTTGCAGCCCACAGTGGAATGCCGCCCAGCGAGATCAACAGAGTGGAGAACCGTCTTTCTGTCGCCAAGGGACGTCTAAGTCTAAGTCTCCTCTTCCTCCTCCTCGGCGTGGCGCCTCAATGTTTCGACAGGCGCGGCGGGGCGAGGGCCTGGATGGTCCTTGCCAGGGCCCGTCGGCACTGGGTCTCAGGACGCAGCGGTCCAGACCCAGGAGATTCAGGAGGGGTCTTTTTCCCCGGCGGGTCCAAGCCAGGATCGGCGACGTATCAGGCCCGACGCCTCCGCAAGTCGAGGCATGAGCGCCGCGACTGATGTACCTTCAGAGCGGCGCTGGTGTCGCCGCTGCGGGCGGCTAGGACAGGCTTGGGGAACGTTCCGGTCCGTTGTTCGATTCTGATGTGGCCTCGCTTCAAGGTTTCGTCTCCCCTTGCGCGGTAATGGAAGTCCCCTTGTGGTTTAAGGAAGTCCGTGCGGGGGCCACGCTTTTGGAGCTCTCTCCGGAGAAGATTTGAGCTCGCTTCTTACGGCCGTTGTGCCCAGCGTTTCCTTCGGGATTCGAATTCGTCAGTCCCACAGTCCCTGCTCGTCCTCTCCCCTCTCCTCCTCGTCCTCCTCCCCCTCCCCCTCATCCTCCTCCTCGTCCTCCTCCTGCTCCTCGTCCTCCTCCTCCTCCTCTTCCGCGCCAAGCTCTCCGCTTCACCCAGGAGGCAAGGGCGATGACGGCCTTGCGTCACGGCAGTTTGCACATCCCCCACTCTCACTTCGGAAGTCTTGCATCGCCCCATGTCGTCATTTGCGCCGACAGACGTTCCAGGGAGTCCAGGTGTTCCTGCAGTCCCAGACCCCCTCGAGTCATTAAAAAATCACGACGGAAGGTCTTTCGCGATTTTCGCCCTCTGGGGGCCCTTACCGGGTCTTGGGACCGTCAAAAAATGGCTCAGGATGAAAAACCGGTCCCGGGGAATGGGTCCGGACCTTTTGGGGGGCGCGTCATGGAAAAATCATGACGTCGGGGGCCTGGGGCCCCGCACGGCCAGAGACGAGTTCCCTCACCTCCGACCCGGCCGCCCCGCTCGGACCTCGAGCTCGCCAGGCTCGGTCCGATCCAGAGTCGCTTTTGTCCGCGGTCCGGTGCGACCCGATGCCGTGCATGGCTCTCTTGCTCGGCGGCGCGCCGAGGAGGGGGGGGGAGTGGGAGGGGGGAGGCCCGATCAGTAGGCCCCTGTGGCTTTCGGGGAGGAAGGGGAGGAGGCATGGAGGCATGGAGGCATGGAGGCATGGAGGCCTCTTGGGCCTTCTGAGATGCCGCCTGTGGCTTTCGAGAAGGCCCAGAGCGCTTCTCAGAACGCTGGAGGCCTCCCGAGTCTTCAGGGAAGGCCCGCCCCCTCTTCATGAGCTGACCACTGGCACCCATGCCTATGCGGCCCCCCACCATGTTTCTTGGGGGGGGCTATCGGTGTGTGTTGTCGGAGGGGGGTCCCCCTCGGGGCTTCACGAATCGCACCCGTCCTGCTAGCGTTAATTCGGGCATGTCCCCCCTACAGGCAGATTCTGGACGAAAAATTAGACATATGCAGGAAGTGTACAAAGAAATAGTCCAAAATACAAAATCGTCCTCTGATTAAGTTTGGACTATTTTTGAATACTCCTCCTGTAGAGGTACAGGCCCGACTCAATGCTAGCGCCTTCATTCCCTCAGCGCGCGCTGGTCTTTCACCGTTCTCCGCCTTTCCCCAGTGGCGCGCCGTTCGATCCGATGCCGACTCCTTGCCGATGCGGACCGATCAGGCTCGCTTCCTGTTCGGTCCGATTCCCCGATTCGATGCTGTGACCGTTCTTGCAGCATCCCCTTAGCCTGCCTTCCGCTGCCGACGGAAAGAAGTCTTCCGCTGCGGGTCCAGATGCTGGTCTCACGCTTTCTCCGCCCGGTCACGCATGTTTTGGCCTCGCTCCCGGCATGGCTCCGTGCTCTCATTCTCCCTTTCCTGCCCGACGGAGTCCTGCTCCTGCTGGCTAGTCCCAATGGTGTTGCCTCCGCGATGGAGCCGCATCCCGCAGGTGTCTGTCGACCCCGAGCACAGATGTCTGCCGCTCAGCGTCCTGCGTTCCCGCCCGAGCAGCGGTCGCGACAGCATCCTTACGTAGTTGAGATTTGCGGTGGGGGGTCGTCGTCGTCGTCGTCGTCCTCCTCCTCCTCCAAATATTTCTCCTGCTGGAGTCCCTGCTACCGCCGCTGGTCCCCCGTCCTTTCCTCGTCTCCCCACCTGTCCTCTTTCTTGCTTCTGCATGTCCCCTTCGTACAGATGATACCTCCTCCTCCTTCTCCTCCTCGCACTCAAGGGGCCTCAAGAAGCCTGCAGAAACCATGCGATAACATACGGGCACGTACGGAAACATCAAACGCTTCGTCGTTCCGTGCTTATTTTCCAGCCCTCACGCGATGCGGCTGCTCGTTTCGCACCCTCCCCTGGAAGAGAATGAGACAGCGGGTGGAGGAGCAGCAAGATGAGGTGGAGAGGGAGCAGGACCACGAGGACGGGGAGAAGCACGAGCAGCAGGATGATGAAATTGATGATGATGATGATGATGATGATGATGATGATGATGATGATGATGATGATGATGATGATGATGACAATGATGCTGGTGATAGTGATGATAGTGATGAGCTGATGCTGATGGTGTTGATGCTGATGATGCTGATGCTGATGCTGATGATGGTGATAGTGACGATGGTGTTGATGGTGATGCTGATGATGGTAATGTTGTTGATGATGCTGCTGATGATGATGGTGCGTCTGATGATGATGCTGATGATGATGATGCTGATGATGATGATGATGATGTTGACGGGGGTGATGATGATCATGATGCTGTTGATGTTGTTGATGATGATGCTGAGTATGATGATGGTTGTGGTGATGATGGTGATAAGGTCGACGATGCGAATTTTGATAAAACTGATGATGACGATAATGATGAATATCAAGATGATGATGATGGTGGTGATGATGATGGTGGTGATGATGGTGATGGTGATGGTGGTGATGATGAGAATGATGATGATGATGATGATGATGATGATGATGATGATGATGATGATGATCATGATGATGGTGCTGATGATGATGTTGATGATCATGATAATGATGATCATGGTGATGGTTATTGCGATGGTGATGGTGATGGTGGTGATGATGATGATGATGATGATGGTGATGGTGATGGGAGTGGTGATGACGATGATGATGATGTTGATGGTGATGGTGATGGTGATGATGATGGTGATGGTGCTGCTGCTGCTGCTGCTACTGCTGATGGTGATGGTGGTGGTGGTGATGAGTACGATGATGATGGTGATGAAGATGGTAATGATGGTTATAATGATGAAGATGAGGAAGAGGAGGAGGATGAGGAAGAGGAGGATGATGAGGAGGAGGAGGAGTAGGCGGAGGAGGACGAGGAGGAGGAGGTTGACGAGCTGATGCTGGAAGCTTCCCCGGCGTGCCCTGAGCCTCTCAGTCGCTTCCAGGGTGGCGGGAGAAAGACGAGGTCGAGAAGGAGGAGGATGAGGAGGACGAGGACGAGGAGGGGGAGGAGGAGGAGGAGGACGAGGAGGGGGAGGAGGAGGAGGAGGAGGAGGAGGAGGAGGAGGAGGAGGAGGAGGAGGAGGAGGAGGAGGAGGGGGAGGGGGAGGAGGAGGCGGACAAAAAGAACAGGATAAAGAACAAGGACGAACATGACGCGGAGGGGGGGAGGAGGAGAGCTCGTTATCCCCTGAGCTCGTCAGCCTGTCCTTGGTAGACCTTCCTCCATGGTAGCAAATGCTTGAGGGCAGGCATCAGCGAACTGATGGAGGGGCAGGGTGCTGTTCGGTGATCCCCTGATGAGAGCCCAGACCCCGTCGAGTCATGAAACAATCACGACGGAAGGTTTTTGTATATATTTTCGACTTTTGGAGGCCCTTACCGGCCCTCGGGACCGTCAAAAAGCGATTCAGGATGAAAAACCGGCCCCGGCGAATAGGTCCGGACCTCTGGTCCGGGAGAGAAGCCGTGCAATGCGACCGGCAATGCGACGCAAGCACAGGTAAAAGGGTTTGGGAGCGTAGTGCAATTGACCAGGCAGGCTTTTGGATGAAGATCAATCGCCCCAGAGCTCTCTGGAACGCTCTGAAATGCAACTCTCTGAAAGCGTTCTGGAGCCCAGGCCCGATTACGTCTTCCAGACCTGCCAGCCCTCAGAGAAGATTCCCGCTTTGTCTCGATCCGCGTCTATCTATCCTAATTTTGCGTTCATCGTAATTGAGGGCAGCAGCAGCGGAAGCAGAGGGGCACAGAGATCCCCTGTTGTTTTTGTCCCAGAAGAGGGTCCCGGGAAGTGCTGACCCTTTCCCCGTGGCCAGCTTTTCATCTTCAGTCGTTTTCATCTTCAGTCCAGAGAAGCTTCCGCCGTGAGATCTTCAGTGAAGAGCAACAGACTCCAAGCACATACATGGTCTGAGGTCCGCGCAGGTCTCTTCGATCGGTGCCAGACCCTGCCATTCCCTGGCTCGCCATGGGCAGGGAGGTCCCAGCGAAGGTCCAAGAAATACGTGCGGGTCTCGGAAAGATTGTGCTTGCGCAGTCTGTTTCTCCGTGCCTGAACGCGTCGGAGGTCTGGGGGCAGCGGGAGGAGCGTCTCGCGGACGCGCAGCGCTGCGAAGGGAGGGGAGGGGCAGGTTGTACCGACGAATAGTATCCTCTCTCGTCCCTCCTCCTTTCCATCTTCCATTTGCAGACCTCCAACGGACTTCACGGGGGAGAATGAGTGAGTATCAATGGCACGGTGCCGTCAGGAGCCCGTCAGCATGTTGACCCTTTGTTTTTAAACTAAGGCCTTGTGGTTTCTTCGCTGATAGTTCCCGACATGGCAGCGTGCCGCTGATACATGTTAATTTGGTTCCCGGGTATTGGAAGTTAGCCTGGCGGAGGAGCTCCTCTCGGGCCATGAAACGCTCGAGGAATTTACAGAGATGGGCGCGGTTAGCGCATGCGAACGCTGCCATTGGAGCCTTCGGTGGAGCTTCCTATGGGGCCACGAGGCGTGTGAGTGGTGTGCCGACATGGGTGCGGTGGGCGTCTGTGAACGCAGCCACTGGGGCCTTCGGTGGAGCTTCCTGCGGGACCACGAAACGTGCGAGGGTGTGTCGACATGGGTGCGGTGGGCGCATGCGATCGTAGTTATTGGGGCCTTCGGTGGAGCTCCCTGTGGGGCCACGAAGAGTGTGAGTGGTTAGCCGAAGCAGGTGGGGCGGATGGTGGTGCTCTCTACGGGGCCACGAAGCGTGCGAGTGGTGTGCCGCCATGGGTGCGGTGGGCGCATGCGAACGCAGCCACTGGAGCCTTCGGTTGGGCTCCCTGTGAGGCCACGAAACGTGTGAGAGGTGTGCCGACATGGGTCCGGTTGGCGCATGCGAGCGCAGCCATTGGGGCCTTCGGTGGAGCTCCCGATGGGGCCATGAGGCGTGTGAGTGGTATGCGGAAAATGGTTGACTGTTGCAGAGGGCAGAAGCAGGGATGGGAGGAGGGAGGATGGGGAGAAGGATTGAGGAGTGGTCGCGGGGCGCTGTTTCTCCAAAACGAGCACCCAATACCACAGGATGGTTGGGAATCAGTACGGGAGATGTTATGTTTTCTGCATCTGGGATCCCGTGCTGTGCCACAGGACTGTAACAAAATCGATTCGGGATGAGAAGCCTGCTTTGAGGAAAGTAAGCGGGACTTTTTGCGTCCATGTATCGAAGGCGCCTACGGCGAATCACCGCCGCCCCCTGCCTTTTTGGAAGCGCCTCTGTGGCCGAACGTTGAGGCCAGACCTGCCAAGCTATCGGACCATGTGTTCCCCGAATCGGTTTGGAAAGCCTTCGGGGAACACGTGGTCATCTTGAAGGTCATATTGGCCGTGTGGAGGCCAATTTG